GGAACGGAGTGTACTATATACTAGGTAATCGTTTCATTCACGCTGTCGTCAGTCAATATTTATGTCTGTGGTGTAAAGAGTATCCTATGGGAGTAGCATCTGTGGGCTGGTAGACTGTCTCTGGTATATTTTCTACCTCTTTGGTGTCAAGCACTCACTCAACTTCCATGTGTGTCTCTAATAAGCTGAAGTATTTACCTTTGGTAAATCACTCGATAGGTGAACTAAACCACGTTGAGGGTAACGGAGGCCGTAACCCTTGACGAGACATCTACCCTTGACTGAGCTGACGAAATTTAGTCTCTAATCCAACAGCCGATGCGGATGTATTGATCCCTAGACTGAGTCCACATCAGTCGAATGGCAAATTCGCTTCCAGTGAGCCACCAGCCACCGTATACCAACACGCTGCTGCTTTGCGGCCTACANTGTGCAAAAGCTAGAGGTGAGCCCTCGAAATTAAATGAGGCTGAATGACGCTATGGTCGTTTCCTGTACCAGAATTCCACAAAATGTCATTTTTATTGCTTGAGCCAGCTCATCTCCCCCAAAGATCTCCAGTAATGTAAAACAACTAAGCAATGTGTTTGTGTACCTTGGTACATGTCTTTATCTGCCTGATCAAAATCTTATCCCAGGTAGACTGTATTTCAATTGCGGCGAATCACCGATTATTCCCTTATCTACTTCACGCAGTTCCTGTGGGGACAACTCAATGGGAAGTGATTGCGAATTGGACGTGGAATGTGTATCAAATCAGAAATGAACCGAACACAACAAATAGGGCTTCTTCGGATGGTCTGAAAGATTGAAAATGGAACGCAAGCTTCAGGGACTAAAACATGACCCCCTATTAACCTAACCTCGCGAGTTAGAAAGTTTGAGCAAAGGGTTATTTGGCAGATTAAAGTTTTATGTTGGGATTGTGAAAAGTTCAATAGCCTCGGTGGGATTCGAATCAACGCATGGCCGCCGCCTACGCTTTCGTACAGCGCACGCTCTACCAGCTGAGGTACGGGGCCACACCGATAGCACTGATCTTTTCATATTCGAATTACCCATCCAACTTACAGAGACATATGGCACCTACCAGTTAGCATGTACGCTGATTGTCCCGGCAGGTTCTCCTTAGAATTCACCGGAGTCCACCGAATGAATATCTAAGGCAAGGTTCATTGTGCAAATGGTTTGGCAGATTGAAGTTTTTTCGCAATTAAGGGATGTGGTGACTTAAATATACGAGTGGAGTTATTCTGGAAGCGTTGTGAATCTGCTTCGGCATAGACAGGAATCGTCAGCGTTGCATATCCAACGAGTTTTTGACGCCTCCGTAGCCGGTTGATTTAAAGCCAATGCTTTACTGTATTTTCACTATCGGGTATGTTGTGCGATAAATTTGTTCTTCCAACGCCTCGATGATCGTTCTTATTTCTTCATTGTATTTGGGGGGCTCGAGAGAGCATATCCTCCAAGAACTACTCCAAGGAAAATTCCTCTTTTGATACGTTTCCGAAAATGTGTGTGCACCCTGATCGGCTGATTATCTTAACCTATCACCTGACACCTTACAGGCTCGGAGCCAATTCAGCGGATATGTTTCCATCATCACAGGTCTATGCTGGTTGTGTTTTTGATTCTGTCTGCTCCTGCTCCCTCTAAAACCACCCTCTCCACCTTTCGTTAGGCTTTTCGTCGTGTGGACGAGCATGCTGTGTCCATATCGCAACAGCAACAGGATAACTTCAATCAACTGATCTGGCAATTGATCTACGCCAGAAATATCACAGACGAGTTGGAGAAGGTGCGTGTAATCTTCCTGTGGTTATGTACCAAAGATTTGCATAAAATGAATTTCGACAATGTGAAACCTGACAGTCCGGAGGAGATTCTAATGGGTATTCGCACAGGAAAATCAACATACGCACAAATTTTCTACACACTATGCAGGCAAGTTCCTCCTTGGCTATCGCCGTTTAACCCTGATGACCGCTCCAATTAGATTAGTAATCCACCTCTCTAATAACGGAACGGTTTTCCCCTCTCTCTGTCTGATGCCTAACCTTTTTGACAACTGCCTATCTCACCATAGATTGTGTAGATCCGTTCAAACGGCTAACAGGTGCTCCTGTGAACGAAAACCACTTATAGCGAGCAGCTGAAACGGTCATTGTCGTACCGGTTCTGAATTACATTTGCCATTCTACGGGCACATGCTCAAACACTCTTAGACGCCAAATAAAACGTTTCTTGTATCTTTTCAAGTTTGCGTTACATTTAATCCAAAAATAACTCAAAATGGCGTGCAATAAACAAACGAAAGCTGTTACTCTCCGAAATGGAATGTTTTTAT